GCCATCACATCAGTCCAGCAAAGGCTCAAACTGTACACTAAAGGTATCTACTGTCTGTTTGTTATTTTAGTCCCGAATAATGGTCTTGTCATTTATTGCGGAACTATCGTGAACGAAGACGGTAAAGAGAAAAAAGTTAACATAGATTTCGAACCTTTCAGACCAGTGAATACCTCGCTTTATCTGTGCGACAATAAATTCCACACAGAGGTAAATTTTTTAAATGAATATTTCAGGCTCTAAATGCCTTGCTTGCAGATGACAGTAAATTTGGATTCATCGTCATGGATGGTAATGGTGCTTTATTCGGCACACTTTCTGGAAACACACGAGAAGTTCTACACAAATTCACTGTGGACCTTCCTAAAAAGCATGGGAGAGGTGGTCAGTCTGCTCTAAGGTTTGCCCGATTGCGCATTGAGAAGCGCCACAATTACATGAGAAAAGTCGCCGAAACAGCCGTTCAAATGTTTATATCAGGAGATAAAGTAAATGTCGAGGGGCTAGTATTAGCTGGAATAGCAGATTTCAAAAGTGACCTTAGTCAGTCGGATATGTTTGATCAACGATTACAAGCAAAGATACTTAAAATTGTGGACGTATCCTACGGGGGTGAAAATGGTTTCAATCAGGCTATCGATCTCGCTGGAGAGGCCCTTGCTGGGGTCAAATTCATTCAAGAAAAAAAACTTATTCAAAGATATTTTGATGAAATCTCGCAAGCAAGTCTAAGACTTAATTTTCTGTTACTAACTTCAATGTCTTTTTAACATTGCTTCGTTTCAGGACTCTGGAAAATATTGCTTCGGCGTAGATGATACATTAAAAGCCTTAGAAATGGGAGCCGTAGAGATACTCATTGTTTGGGAAAATCTCAATGTCAATAGATATGTGTTGAAAGTTACGGGATCTGACGGTAATCCATTTATTGTTTGCATGAATAGATATTCTATTATTGTAGTCGTAAACTTGATCTATCCTCAAATCATTTTAGCAGTATCTAGAATAATCCACTCGTCAAGGCTATCTTTATACATTTCTATAATTGTAACTGAACTCATATTTTTAGATTCATTGCCACTTAATTGGCACCTTTTTATGTTTTCCTATAGGATACTACCTAAAACGTGTGCATTATATCCACTCAAATGTTTTGCTTTTTTAAATTTCATACTTGTG